GTTGATAATGTTGTCTCCGACTATCACGTGGTTCATTTGTCACCGACACTCTCTAATACGAGTGAACGTCTTCATTTTCTCGGCCACTTTATAATGATCTTGTACGATTGTACATTTAGATGACTTTTTTTTCCCCTAGGAATTCCTTGGAATGATAAACGTGCGATATCACTTTATCGATCAACCGATTGATTTTACTCGAGTTTAATCACATCGTAGCATCGATGCACTGCAAACCGATCTCCGATATAAAACCATCGGCATTATGAATGAGATTAAAAGTGCATTATTATGTCCATGAATTCTGCCCTCCTTGTATTGGACTTTTACACTTTACCTTCTTTAAATCTAATCTCTCTGTAGCCCAGTGGAAATCGTCTTAAGGTGCGGTCCAGTTTTTGCAGATTTGCCAGTTCCGTCACGAATCGCTGATAGCCTTTATCTCTTTGTTTGGTGTTTTCGTTGCTCCAGAGGACTTCGCGCACTTCGATTATTCCCTCACACCCACGTCGTCATTTCTCTCTCATAGATGGTCACGTTTACCGAAAGAAACGCCGTATTTACAACATTTTCATTAATCTTGGTATACGTTTTTTTTTTATTGTATCATGAAGTACACCTAACGTTACCTTTCACGTAACTAAAATCCACGCCGAGGTCCTTGTATCAAAAAGTAATATTAATTTAATGCCGGCTTCGATTTGGAAACGGAAGCGTGTGAAAAATCGATTCAAAAATTCGAGATAGCGCTTAAAAATGGTAATTATAAAATTACGTATGAATGGAGATGACGAATCGGTCTCAATGTCGGGAAAAGTAGAAATCGGGATTTAAAAGGTCGTTCACGTGCTGCATCGTTAAGGAAAACATTCTTTCATCTCTGGATCCCACGGAAAATAATTCACCGGTTGTCCTCGAGATGTTAGACCTCCTTCGCATTCCTCTTCTCGAAAAATGACTTCCGTATTTAGGGAAACTAGTGCTTTCAGTTTTAACCGTCATCCCACGGTTTCGACTCCTCCGTATACTTCTTTTTAAACTTCCAAACAAATTTTTCTCCGTACAGGAAAAAATTCTAGCAACGTCCACCACGAGCGGGACCACTCAACGTTCAAAGACCGTCAACACGTAAAAATTAGGGATTAAAATTTGCTTTGTCAGTCGAATAAACAACGAAACCCGGAATTGAAAATAAATTATACTCCTTGCAAGGGGTATAGTCCGTCAGATAAGTAGACTTCCTTATTTTCAACGCCTCCTGCAATAAACAAGCCGGTTGCCCTCGAGAAGTGTGCCTCCTTCTTCGGCTATAGTTTTTTTTTTTCAACTTCATGGATACCATAATGCACAGTCATTATTTTCACTTTACGAGCCAAGACCTGCTCGATTTTCATTATACTAATCGTTAAAAAACAACGGAAGCCTTGATTCCGTTTCACGGCGTTGACTTCGAACGCATTATTAACAAAGCTTATTAACTTCGTCATTATCAGATCTAAAACACCTGAGTGCGTAATGAATCTTCAAAGAAAATTAGATCAAAGACTTTATTTCCAGAGACGCCAACCAACTCTTAAAGGGGTTGGTAGAATGTAGGAAGCGTTTTGAATTTTAGCACTGAGACAATTTTCGTAAACGTTCCCTTTTCTCAATAAATAACAGCCATATAAAGAAATATATAAAGAAATATTAGAAATGAAGCGTGAAGATAATTATGCTCAAACCAGGCATTTCGAGACAGGATAATAAAAACGACCAAGAACACTTAATAATATCTACGGACTCTATTTAACTTAGAAGTTTCACTTCGAACACGCACCGATGTTATTATATCTTTAATTCACCTTAAAAAATAGAATGAAACATCTCCGTAAACAGGTTGTCTTTCATACATTTTCATTCGCCTCTGAAGTAACTTTGAAGCGCATTGCACAACATACCGATCCCCTTAAAGGTTGAAAATGCCTTTTGGGAAGTCATGACACGGACTAGCGAGCTTCCTTCTCACCGGTTATTGTAATAAATGTGCTGACGGTGAAGGAGTCTTCTTCGTCGGTCATTTTATCGAGGTTTTTATTTGCACCTTGCTTGGTCACTTCCTCGCGCCAAGTCAGGGCCGTCTCGACTAACAAGGTCCGGCAACGTTAAGGTCGCCTCTGAGCAATGCTAGGCCTCTACTTCTCTTTTTGCCTCCGACTGTGTCGACTCCTGGCGGCGGAGTTGCGACTCCGCCTGCTGCTCCATGCCTGCTGCAGCAACCGGCCGGTTGCTGCAACAGGCATGGCGCATCATTTCACTTAAAAAATGTCCTTCTTCCTCGGCGCCAATCTTTGTTCAAGTTCAAGGCTAATGCTCGACCGGAGAAACCAGTTTCCCCGTCGAGTCTCGTCGTTTTCGTTTATTTCCGCCGCATTTTTACCACTCGATGGGTGGAGGATAACTCGACGACCGAGTCGCTGGTGTTTTGGGACCGGTTGCTAGGTTAGCTTGAACTATGATCAAAAAGAACGTCGTCGAAATATCCTGAAGATCTCGGAACGATCGGAACAGGATTAACTCCCGACTTTGAGATTTTCGAATCCGTGCAAGTAATGCAGATTAAGGGCCTTCTTTAGTGCAGAGGGTCGCTGAAATCGAGTTTCTTTTTTCAATTGATCGATTACAAAAAAGGTTAGCTCGAACTATGATCTAAAAGAATGTCGTAGAAATATCCTGAAGGTCTCGAAACGACCGGAGCAGGATTACCTCCCGACTTTGAGATTTTCGAATCCGTGCAAGTAATGCGGATTAAGGGCCTTCCTTAGTGCAGAGGGTAGCTGAAATCGAGTTTCTTTTTTCAATTGATCGATTACAAAAAAAGGTTAGTTCTAACTATGATCCAAAAGAACGTCGTAGAAATATCCTGAAGGTCTCGAAACGACCGGAGCAGGATTACCTCCCGACTTTGAGATTTTCGAATCCGTGCAAGTAATGCAGATTAAGGGCCTTCCTTAGTGCAGAGGGTAGCTGAAATCGAGTTTCTTTTTTCAATTGATCGATTACAAAAAAAGGTTAGCTCGAACCATGATCAAAAAGAACGTCGTCAAAATATCCTGGTCTCGAAACGACCGGAGCAGGATTAACTCTCGTCTTTCAGATTTTCTAATCCGTGCTAGTAATACGAATTAAGGGGCTTCCTTATTGCAGAGGGGCGCTGAAATCAAGTTTTTTTTTTCAATTGATAGACAAAAAAAATTCATCTCGAATAGTGGCCAAAATGGGCGTTGTCGAATTAATCTGAAGGTCTCGAAACGATCGATGCGAGGTTAGTTTTCGACGTAGAAAGGTTTTTTTTTAAATCCGTGTAAGTAATACGGATTAAGGGGCTTTCCTAGTTTGAAGGTCGCCAAAATGAAGTTTTTTTTTTTCCATTGATCCACAAAAATAGGTTAGGTCGAATGATGGGGAAAATCTAGAAAGACTCATGATTTTAATTACAGGTGACAGACAATGGAGTCGAAGATCGAATTTTATTTGGGCAATTGTAGGAGAGAACGAGGCACCTGAAATTCTTTGCAATTGAGTAACTCGATTATTAAACCGAGTTATTCAATACTTTGCGCTCCTAGTTAGCAGCAGAATCTTAAACGGTATTTCATGAAATGCTAATAGCTTGTAAAGGAGGTTTTTCTTTGGCCAGTTCTCTCATGTTTTGCGACTGGGGTAATACAGGCGTATAGATCAGAAAATCCATCGATGCAACAGTCGGGGCATTAAAAGTCACCTGTTGCACTTAACGAAAGTTTGGAGTACACTATTTACAACTGTTCTGGCACGGGTTAAGTCTGGTTTACGCAACGTAGAAATGTAATTCGGAGTTGATCCTAGCAAAAGAACAGTAGATTGCAAAAGACTTGAACTTAGCGCAGATCGCGCAATGTAAAAAATGGGCGATAGTAAGTAACTTCGCAGTAGCTCTTAGAGTTCAGGTCCTCCAGCGACCTCTCTTTACCCCACGGTTAATTAAATTTCAGAATGTTAATTAGGTTTTAACGGCTACTCCAGCCACTGTCATTAGTCTATTTAAAATTTCGGAACAGCAATTATCGGTTAAACGTGGTTTCTAATTCCTCCGAAAACGGCCCAGAGGCACGTTGTCGCATTTGGCAAGATGGCGCCCAATCGGCCATATCATTGTTGTTCGGGATTAATGTAATTCTTAAACGAGAGCATCGTGAGGCAAAAAAAACAAGAGTTGTCTGCATTTAATGATATCGTATGATAATGTTAAGAGGCAAACAACCTTAATCGTAGGAGTACTCTTGGCTAGAATAAAGAGATTCTTAGTCACGCACTTTAAATGCCAACTACGTTGTTTGCGCAGTGGACAGCACTCCAAACAACACCGGCGTTGCATGCAAACTGCATTGACGCACTGTAAACAATTACAGGTTATTGACCCTAAAACAATTCCCCCTTATCTTGTGTAGACCTAAAAGCATAAAAAGGTGACCGCAAAGAACGATGTATTGAACGGCGGGTCTAAGATTCCTTTTCTTCAATTTTTACTGCTCCTTTGTTGGGGGTTAAACAACCCACTTTAATGAAGCTCCTCTATGAAACCGAGGTTGAAAGTAAAAGAATACGCCACGTGATAGTTTTACGTTTTAGATAATGATTTGATTGGAGGTAATAATAGTCATGTCAGATACCGCTCATGAGGTAAGGGGGCAAACTCGAGTCACGTACTACAGATTACAACCGATCGTGTTGCCCGTCCGAAGAATGGCACTTTAATGCAGTAATTGTGTGCTATGACGCGAAATAACGTCTAAATACAGCAAATAATGCGTTATGAATAGCTCGTGCTTGGACGCGTCCAGAAATATCTCCTCGTCTTTGAGACCCGATACAACAATGCGAACGTAAGCGATCATGCGTCTTATAACATGGTACAATGTGTCCCTTCAAGTGGTCCAAAATGCAATTGTTGTACTTAACCTATATTTCGTTGTACATACCAGGCAATGAACTCAACAGCTAAGAGGAATGCAAGTTAGCTGCCCCTGGCGTAGTTGTTCACATGCAAAACACGATACACCGGCCCAACACTAGCCTGACGAAAACTCACCACCGATCATTCGGCATGGAGTACAAAAATTGATAGAACTGTTCAAGGGACTAACTCAACGCGTATACAACACTGAATTTCGAGCATTGGGGCCGATACAACACTGAGGTAATAGGAATTAAGTGCGCAAGAAGTGGTGCACAACTCTGGTGTGTTAGTCTACTGCTGATATGTCTTGATTTTTGAGGTCGTCAATCGCGTTTTGGACAACAATGTGGTAAAACAACCGGCGGGTTTCCTTTCGCACCAGGCGGCGAGCTGATTCGTAACTGACTCCGATGACAGAGCTTAATGACTGACGACTGTGCCGACCTGTGTTGTGCTCGCGGAGCGTTGTATGTAGCCTGCTCCCCTCCTTCCGGACTTCTTCTCCCTCCATCCTTCCGACCCTCTTCTTCCTAACCCCTTGCACCTTATTCCTTCCCGATTCCTTGTCGCCGTTAATCCCTATAATTCCCTCGCTAGTTCCTCCTCTTATGTTCGTCCTCCTCCTTTGAGACTTCCATTCTCGGGTGACCTTGAATTATTCGAGCTCATTGCTGCAGCAAATGCAGGAAGTGCAACGTTTCGGAACGCTGCTATAGTAGACGGAAAGAACTATGAAGTACGCGTGTCGTGATACCGGTAATTTTCAGACACGGCTAACCGTGGCTTGGTTATGTCACCACGCGATGGAGGTGCTCTTTGAGGTTAGGACATCATAATGGAGATTACCGACTTATTGTGCCAGTTCTTGTGGCAATTGCGACATTCGCGGAGACATTTTCACTGGGACATCTGGATACATTTTTACGAAATGTTGTTGGGAATATTTTTATTTCGCCGCTTTTTCGCCGCGGTTTGCAAATAACGGATCGAGTGGACAAAAGAAAAGATTGTGGTCGTAGGTTTGGAAATTTCCAATGGATCGGTCAATTTTGGACGGACCCAAGGAAGGCTTCGAGGAACTCGGGATTGTAAAGACAATTGTTCCTTGTCCCTTGGTCCCCTGGAACACCGAACAATTTGCCAAAGCCTTGATTTAGAATTTCTTGCCTGTTAGGACGGAAGGTGGCCGCAAACCGAAAGTCCAGGGGAACTTCTTCCTTTGTGTGGAAACCAATTTAGCCTAACAGCTTCGGCTCCGTCTTATTCTCTCCGTTTATGACTAGGAGGTAATGAATATGAAATAAAAACCGAAAAGTTGAAAACACTCACGGGGAAAAAAAAAATTAAATTAAATGCGAGGGGTAAGCAAGAAACGATAGATGGAGCTGTGATAGCGAGTTTTGAGGTACCTGGATAAGGGTAAATTATTCTTTCAACAATGTTAAGACTTCATTGAGGTGACATTCGAGGTTATACGAGTCTAGGAAAAAGCTAGTGAAAAACCGAGGGAATGATTCATAGTCCCTGTGGTCACCCTGTCTATTTTTTGTTTTCTATCTCTTTTGCTTTGTCGGACTCCTTACGAATTCAAGCGAGAATTGTTGAATTTAAAATCTCAAGATGTATAAATAACCCTAACCGCGAGTTCTTTACATATACGTGTCCCTAGCGGCATTCGACCAATCGTGACTAGCATTGTTAAATGAAGAGATAGATAATATTTTATTCCTACGTGGAGTTCTCTGGGAGTTATCGTCTTTTTCGGAAGGGGAGACCTCCGATGGAATCGTCGAGATTTATTCTCATTCCGGATGAATTAAATGTTTTCGGCCAGAGAGTCTCCGAAAGGCTCATTTGCGTGCGGAATAATTTGCCGGGCCTCTACTCCATATGTGCGATATATAAATACTTCATGATGTAAGAAGTGGAAGCATCTAGATTGGAAAAAGGTATTAAATTAATCTGATCGAGGGACGAATTTTTCGGAGACTACTTCCTCGTTGATAAAATCGGAATTAACGAGGATCGTAAAAAGTGTTATAAGACGAATGGCCATGACGAAAATGGCTGGCAAAGGGAAAGAAACATGGCGGCCGTCAGGTCTAAGAATCGACACTCTGGTTGCATTTTCTGCAAATGAAAATGTCGGCTCTCGTCGGTTCATTATTTTTCATTGACTCGGTTTTCCATTATCTAATCATATTTGGGTCAAGTCTCCGTGAACCAAGGGATCGCGTCGACATACGAAAACGGATGCTTATCGTTAGTGAAAAATGGCTTCTATCCCAGACGAAACGTAACGAAGTCCGTCTAGAAGGGAATTAACGTTTATCAGGGAATACTTCATAGCCAGTGATTTAAAATTCTTTCTTATCGCGGAAATGGGAATTCGTTATCTAATCGTATTTAGGCCAGCGGCCGGTAAGGTAGGTCGTGTCGAACAGAAGAAAGATCCACTGTTCAGACAATTGTTCCACTTATGAGAAGTCCAAGGACGTTGGTTTTAATATTTCATTTGCTGCGCCGCCGCCATTTTGCGCCCCCGATTTGGAATCTTATTTCTGGATGGTAATTTCGCGGGAGACATGTTTATCAGTAGGCGTCAGACGGCAGAGGAGATCGCTTCGTGGTCGTCGGGTTAACCCCATTATTTCTTTTATTTCGCCGTCCCCAGTTTACTAATATTAAAACGCGTTGAAACAATGAGCGCGCAATTCGGACCGGTTTACGACTCCTTTTCTTCCGGGTGTGAGTTGCTCTCGCATATTATTTCTCGCTCCCTATCGCAATCCTCGATCAGACTCGAAATTCGCGGTAACGGCTAGAAATAAAAAGTCTGTAATCCATTCAAATTATGAAATAAAAACTCTCCTCAGAGCGGGGAACAGAAGGTGCAAATTGCCCGTTGCGGAATAGTTTTAAAGCTTTTTTGTAAACATTGCCGCAATAATTTCAAAAGGCTGGAGATCTTTTTAATATGCTTTTTATTTCGAGCGTTTCGTTTAGTAACAACTAGGGATGGGATAATTATTAACAGCTGGTATAGAACGTGCGTTTATCGACCACAGTCCAAGATGTTGCCGCAATGGGCAACGTGTATGTAATGATAACGAGGATAACGTCGGTTCTTCCGTTTCGTTCGCGACGCCACCGAGAGATGGCGGCGCGGTTGTTTTCTCTTCCACTCGTAAACTCGACCGACGCGTTCCCATTAGGCGAATAAATATGTATTTTTTCATTCGAGCGCGTGGCGGCGCTCATAAATAATTTATTTCCGTTCCATTTCCGGCCGTCCCCTCGCGTTTCCCGGCTTGATGATTATTTTAACGAAGGCCGATCGCAATTACCATTCGCCCGAAATTGGAGGAGGTTGGCTCGTCATTCGGCGGACTTCGCTCGCTTGTTACGTACCTTGTTCCACCGGATGTTCCAGGACTCCTAACCTCTTCGTTCTCGTTACCCACGTTAAGGGGGAGTGGCTCAATTAAGCGGAGCTTTTAATTTAACGGAAGTTCTGAGCTAGACCGTTGGTCATCCGGATGGCTTCCGATGAAATCTCGACGTGGTCGGTCCACATTTGTGGCATTACCGACATTCCGAAATCCCCAGGACTTCCGGTTTGGTTCTAAGGGAAAATCGCAGGAAACGATTAGTGCCCGAGTCACGTGACCAGCGTAACCACTCTTCCATCGACCGTGTTAAAAAAGAAGTGAAAAAACACGGCCAATTCGAGTCTGGATGGCGCAATTTTTTTTTCGCGGGTACAGGGCACGAAAAAATGGAGATAACGCCATCGTTTCTCTATACAGGGTAGATTTATCTATAAACCGCTCATTCGCTGTGCAGCCTATCACGATCGAGCTTGTCCCATCCGCTCAAATTTAATTCGTCAGGATTAAAGCCTATCCGCCATGGCGGCGGCAGGCGGGTGGAAAATGAAAAATTTATTTTCCCTTGATTTCCTTCTTTTTTTCCCCTTTTTTTTCGGTACCCCCTTTAACCCATCAGCGGACTGATCGCCGAGTATCCGGTTACAACGGGGAACGGATTACGGGTACGGTGAAATTTTTAAAACTGAATCCGCCGTCGAAATGAACGTACGTACGTAATCGTTCGACGGGACGGTACATCTCTATTTAATTAGAATCGATCGAGGCGAGAATCGCTTTGATTATGGGCCGCAGCGGTTTTATCCTGCGGTTTTGAAACGCGGTTTGCGGTGACGCTCGGCGCGCCTTCCCCGCGCAAAGTCCCAGACGCCACCGCTCGCGGCGCCACCGTCGCCGCGTATCCGGCACTTCGAGCAAAGTTCGCCAGACGCGACTTACAAACAGCAAAAATAAAGGTAAAACCGATTGACAATAAATGACATAAAAGGTGAAATATGTTTTTCCTTGTTGGCGTCGTGTTTACCCCGCAAGATTAGTTGAGATTGAAACAGTACTTCTCTTTCGGTGGTTGGAAGAATAGTGATATGAAATGTGGTTCCCTTCCAATAATGATACGAAAACTCGGAAAACTCACAATGTATCCCGTTTACAGTCGTAGATTCGCCTTGCAAAGATGAATTTAATCGCGCATTACAATCGCTAGGTCTAGTTTTGATCCTGCGGTTTCAAAGCGTAGTCTGCGGCCGCGGCCGCGGTTTTCCGCTCAAAGTTTCGGGCGCTTCCAACAATGGCGCCACCAGCGATTTCCGCTACACAGTTGCCACTTGCAGCAATTCCAAACCATAATCTTCCTCACAATATTACTGAAATAGAAAGATATCAGGGGAGGTTGCGTGGAGAAGGGGGGAGTTATGTGAGATATGAAAAAACATCTAAGATAAGAGGAGCTCAGGAAAAATAGAGCAAAGTTGGTAGGTGGTAGATAGGGTAAGGTTATCTTGGATATGTTAAGGTTATGGAAAGAGAGTAAGGTTATGTGCAGGGCGTCACTATTATGCGGGAAAGACTGAGATCATGTGGGTTGTATGGGATAGGGCATGGTTAGGTGGTTATGTCGGGTAGGTCATGGTTATGTGAGCTGAGGTAAGAGTACTGACAAGGAAAGTACCTGAGGTGTCCCCCTCCGATTTTGTTCATTTTTAAATATGTTATAGAGGACTAAAATCTAAGGGACCCGTGTTTTTTTTTTATCGGTGGATAAATACTTTTAGGGGGTGAAATCAGGCTTCAAAGTTGGCCGTGCAAGGGGGTGAGTCGGCTGTTTCATATAGAAGCACTCGACCGATTTTCATGAAACAACCGTCAAAATGTAGGGAATGAAGAATGATGAAACATGTATTTGGAATTTATCGAAAAAATTCATTTTTAAGAGGTGAGTCACCCTTTTGAATACTTCTTTTACCCCTTACGCGAGCAGTAATTGTTCTATCCAAATGAAACTTTTTTTGTATTGTTCTGGTCTATAAATTAACCAAGTTT